AGTTCTTTTTCAGTGTTGGTACCTGTCACAGCGGGTTTTCCCCATTTTGGGAAAATAGAATGTTTTATGTCTGATGTGCCTGTGTTGCCAAGAAAGTGATGTAAATATGAGCCATTTACAGAGCCCCGAGGCAGATGATTTCTTCATTGAGGGCCCTTCTCCAGCGGGCTGTGCAGGAAAGTTGAGATGAATTGCAGTAATGGTGGGAGGCTGATGTGGCTGACTCCAAGGACACTGGATCCTGGGGCAGAGGCTCTCAGGAATTCCGTGGCCCTAAATTGTGGTGGCTCCATGGAGCTGCTCTGGGGCTCGGTGCAGGAGTTGCCTCGGCAGTGCTGCACACCCCGGGCAGTAACACTCACCAGTTTATTCAGGGCTAAAAGCACAAAATGGCATCACTGGGAAGCATGTCTTGCATTTAACCCTCTGCTTGGGGCTTTTTCCTCCTGCCTGCGAGATGTGGTGGTGGCAGATGGGGGATGAAGGGCAGGGATGCTCTCTGTCACAGCACTGCAGCTGCACTGCGCACGCTGGCAGAGCCAGGCCTTTCCTCAGTTTACCTGAGCATAGCTCGTTCCTTCTGAACCTGCCTTGTAGACCAGATCCTTACAAGAGAAAGGTGTTACTGCAGCTGGCCTGGGATGCCTCTACATGGACCTGAGCATCCAGAATTAGCAGATGTTCCTGTCATGACAAAGTTGCATTTTAATGCAGCATTCACTGTACTTCCTCTAAGAAGAGTAGAAGTAGAAGAGAAATCAAAATAGATTAAAAAAAAAGACAAATATTAGTAGTAAAAGAGGGCTATATAAATATTAGGGTGTTGGAGGAATTAGAGTAGAAAACTCTCCAAAGTACTTGGTGCAGAGAAAAACAGATGAAAAGGTTTGTTTTGTCCATCAGAGAAAACTTTATCTTGCCTCGGCCCACGAAAGCTGTAGCTGTATTATTTGTGGGAGAGAGCAGTAATTCATGTAAGAGGAGATTTCCACCACATTCAGCTTCTCATTTTTCCTTGGTAAACCAGCCTCAAAACTTCTGCTGGTGGAAAAACTTGTTAGATCTCATCACCCTAAACTGTGAAAAGATGTGTGATTTGAAAGTGGGGGTTGCCTCCCGTGTTGGACAAATGTCATGGTGTATTTTGTTGGCCAAGACCTGTGCTCTGATATGATGCCATTCTCCTGGTTTTCTGGTTTTTTTTTTTAGCTAGTCTTGAAAGTGCAGCTGTGGGAGGCAGAAGCAGGATCCTGGTTTCTGAGTGTTAAAAAGCAAGGACCGAGCTGTAGCGGTTGGGGAGTCGGGGTTTTTCTCCACAGCTTTATGTCTCAGTCACCTGGAGCATGGGGGCTTCCCAGAAGGGCTGGTGGCTCTTGAGCCTTGGTTCCTCTTCCCAGGAGAGTGCAGTCAGCATGGAAAGGCAAGGCAGCAGCTTTTTGTGGGGTGCGAGCTGTGGAGCCGGCAGAGCAGGAAGCTCTGGAGAAGGGATTTCCCTGCAGTTCACAGCGGGGCACTCGCTCTGCCTCACAGCCCTGCCAGCCAGGGGTGTTCCTTGTTAACTCCTCACTTACGTTGTACACTGCCTCATAAGTTATTTATTTCAGCAATTAAAACCCACAGTGATAATGGATGTTAACACACGGTTGGGGTTTTTTAGTGAACCCTATCACTGGATGAGCCGTGGCCTTTGAGAAGCAGCTTTGGATCACCTGGCAGCATTTGCACACCATTTAAGCTCTCTAAGTCATGGGGCTGTGCAATCAACCTTGTGTATTTCACTTTCATTACATGTATTCAGAATAGTTTACGTTTTTATTGAAAACGAAGCTAGATTCCTCTCTGAATGAATGACCAGTGAAAGTGATAGTAGGTATGTTTTATAGAAGTTTCATATAACTTGTAACTACAAGTTGGAAGGATGCTTCTGGCAAGTTTATAAATGTGTAGGAAAACAAGATTATCCTGATGTTTTAAAGAGAATATATTTTACATTAAGAATTGAGATTTCTATTATGATTAGGAAAAAAGGAGTTGCTGTAGGAGGACAGAAAGACTTTTTTTCTGATTAGTGTGGATTTCAGGTTTTGCCATGACTTTGCTGTGAGACAGGAGTGGCAGGTGGCAGGAGGGTATTATCTGTAGCTCTGGCAGCTTGGACTGTTTTTGAGAAGGGGAAGATACATTTTTATTGCGAGAAAAATGCTAATAGATCTAGTTGTAATCTTACTTTAAGTACCAAAGAGTTAGAAATGAATCGTGTGTATGGGAGTATTGTCCTTTTCCTGTCTCCCTCCTTCAGACAGGGAAGCAGCTGAGGTTTTCTCCCAGCCTCTCTGATGAATTCCTCAGTAGGTTTGGGCTGCCACACCCCCTGCCACTGCACACTGCTGCTGCTGCATGTCCTAAACTGATGGCACATCTTTACCTGCATTTTAAATGCTTTGGGTTAAGTGTAAGTGTACACAGCTAAGGCTTTTTTCTTATAACAGTATGTCACAGGTAAATAATTTTATAGTTTCTTAAGGGATAAAATGAAATCTAAATGTGGAGTTGCTCTGGAGTTTATTAATTCTGGGATTGGGAATATGTAAATAACACAGGATTATTTGAGTTCATTGCTCCAAGTGGCTCTCCAGTACATAATTAATTTCTAATGCTGTTTGCAGGAAACTCTTTGGTCTCTTTAGAGCTTTGCCAGCCAAGATGGGTGTGTTGGCCTTGAAGAAGCAGTGCTGCCTGATGTGGAGAAGAGTCAGTGTAGAAGTTTATCAGCAAAACACCAGAGTTGCTGCCCAGTGCAGCAACTGATGTGCCAGAGATTTTGGCTCTTTCAGCCTCATGTTGGTGGCACTATTCAGAGCTGTTAGTGTTTTGAGAAAATGAACTTAATATTTGGGACTTGTGCTACAGTATTTCTAGAGAATATTGCAGAACTATGTCTTTTGAAAGAAAAAAAATACAAGTGTCATATTAAAAATAGTGTCAAGAAAAATAGAAACTTTAGTATATTGGAGAATCCAGAAGTAGAAATGTTGCTGGCTAACATTTAGCCTTAATATGTGATGTTGATCCTTCTTGAAAGAGCAAGGATTGGTTTTTAAAGCTTCTTTTGTTTTTCAAATTGCATTCAGTGTCATCTTCAGTTTTGAGGCTTGTGTTTACAGAGAAGATGAGCTTCATTACATGAATTTTAATACTTTAAAATGAGGCTGTGTCTGGACATTAATTTTTTTTTTGTATGTGTGTCATTGCTGAAATCATAGTTTGATTTCAATTCTGCTTTGATTCTAAAGATTCCATTTCACTCATGATCTTTCTTCCTGAAGCTATTTAATGTCAAAGATAAAGTCTGAAGTGTTTAATCACTGGGTATCCATTGAAAATTTGTTTGATGAGAATTGGCCAGCTCTGTTAGCTGACAAAAATTAGTGTGGCATCTGCTGTCTTTAGTGAACATGTGCTAAGTGAACTGTGAGAGGCTTTCCAAGCAAGTGTGAGGGTTTTTTTATTAAAGTAGTTTTGCTGAGTTTTAATCTGGTTTTAAATTTACATTTTCTGCTCTATTCTGAAGTACATGACAAATGACCATGAGGGGTATTGTCCTTTTCTTAGAATTACTGCTCGTGTAAGTGGCAAAAATGCTTTCTTGGTTACTTCTTTCAAAAGCCTTTTTCTTCATTTTGCATGTTTTGTTGTGGGAGCCAAAGACAAACCAATGGGTGAAGCATAAAAAGTGCTTGAAGGAAGTGTATCTGCAAAACACTGAAATTGGCAAAGAAGGATTTAGCAGAAATTGGTTTTTATCCTGGCTTCTGTCAATCTTCTAAACTTAAGTTTGTGCAGAACATTCAGATTGTTGAATATTTGGTTCTGAGGAAAGAATCTCCCTTAGTTCCTCATCCTCAGATTGAAGTGCTTACTGCAGCCTCGATAGAATTTTGTGGCACAGTGAGAAGAGAATTCTTTCTAAAAAATGTCAGTGGGTGGATGGGGGTGGTTATCCTGAAAACCAAAGCAAAACATTCTTAAGGCCTTTCTTGCTTGTCCTGGAAAATGCAGAAACTGCCACAAAACAAGAAAAAAAACCCCAAACCATCCATGCAACTGTTCCAGGCGTGGTGTGCCCGTGGTGTGCCAGTGGTGTCTCACAGTAGTGGCAGCTGTCCCTGCTGCCTGATACTGGGCTCTGAGGGGGATATATTTTAGTTTTGTCCACTGGGCAGACTTTATTTTCAAGTCAAGTGAGTGTCAGCATTTTATCCTAAATGCACACATGTTAACTCTTCCAATACATCCTCTGAATTTAGTGTGACCTATCATTATCCCAGTTCCATGTTTGTGAGATTGTAGCACCAGGGGGATTTTCCGTAATCTCTTAGCTACTTGTTTTATTGTGCTATAAGAAAATGATAAAATATGCTTTTATATGAAATATAGTGTACTGATGATGATAAATGTGGAAAATGCAGACATTTTTGGAGACTGGTGGAACTCCTGAATCTGTTCTATTTTGAATTGATTTAGATCTCAACTGGTAGTGAATTTTAAGTAATAATCTTTATTGACATGTCTTTCACAATCACACAACATTAATATTCTGTAATTGTGCTTGGGGTTAACAAATGCATTCCATCTTCTAGTTTTGGAATAGTGTATCATGAGTAAAAAATGCAGTAAAATGTTTGAGGTGCTGTTTACATGTTAAGCCAGTGGCCTGCCAACCAGGGGTTTTATGCTTTTTGGGGTGTCTTGGTCATTTCGAGGTTAGGGTCCTTGTAATTTTGCTCTAGTGCTCTTTGTTGAATGGGACAAATCCAGAAAATCTTACATTACTTAGCTTTTGTTTTTGCTCCCTGTAGAGTGCCCTGTTGTAAACTAAAATCACACATTCCTGAGTGTAAACGGATCATGTTCCCAATGGAAATTTCAGGAATACTTGTGGCTACTTTCAAAATGTGGAAATCTATTTATTTTTTTTTCCTGCTTGTTTTTCTTCCCAGCTCTTGGCGCTGACCGCGTTCATCTGCATAGAGACCATCATGGAATGCTCCCCTTGCGAGGGCCTTTACTTCTTTGAGTTCGTGAGCTGCAGTGCACTGGTGGTCACCGGGGCTCTCCTGATTCTGTTCAGTCTCAACCTGCACACGAGAATACCCCAGATCAACTGGAATCTTACTGTAAGTTCAGTTGAATCCTCACTGTGGTAAACATTTTTGCTTTGCTTTCTCCTGTTGTTTAATATTGTGTTTGAGTGTTCTTTATGCTGGGTAAAGTATACATTTTACGTACATTTATTTGGAATGCTAACAGCAGAATGAGCTGTGAAATGTAGCAAGATTAAACTACATTAAACAGAGCTAAAATCATGTTCTGGTAGATTGTCTTTGGGAGGACAAACTTCCTGCTAATGCCAGCAATTACGCTTTGTGGGTGAAGTGGATAAAAATGCAGCCTGTAGTTATTTAACTTTGATAGATGCTGTTTTTACAGCAGCATGTTGTTCTCTCTTAACCTGGAGGTTTTTTATGTTAGGACAAATTTTCTACATATATTTTCTTACATAGGCTAATACAATAATTGGGCAGTAGTAGTAGAAAGTTAAGTGTATTCTGTGAAAAGCAGGTGTTTTCTATTGCCTATGCACCTAATTATTAAACACTGACTGGCATTGCTTAATGTATTCTCAGATATGAGGAGTTTTAGGAAGAGAACTGCTGGCAGTGCACATTCCTTTTGTACATGTCTCTATTTTCATGCTGTATTCTGAGTTAAACTTTCAGACTGGGTTGCATAAACACAGGTCACAAAATCAACGTGTTAAATCACTCTAGCAAAAGATCTGTCAACTTCAAGGGCAGTATTTATGCCAGCTTCTTTGGACAGTACAGATACAATTGTGCCAGTGTTCAGTGTTGTAACAGTAATTTTGAAAGTACTGTCAGAGTCCTGGAGGTTTTTAGGCTTCTGTGTGATTTAAAAAAAAAATTGAAAACGTAATTTATTAATGTAACAGTTTGCTTAGTTTCTCAGCCTAAATGACTTGGTTGAATTGAGACTGGAACGTGGAATTAGATGATCCTTTCTACCCTGGGGCTGCATAGTTAATTGATGAACTCCTCCTAGGAGTGCTTGGTAGATGGGTAAGGTGTTCTGTGGTTGAACTGTCCAGAAATTATTCCTTTGTGGTGGCAGCAATTGTGCCTGCATAGACCCGTTAGGAGATATTTTGGGGAAGGGGGCGGGGTTAAAAAGCCAATCAGTTGTGCTTTGGGCTTTGTATTGTTTTAGAAAGGTATTTCAGTTTTTGAGCAGGGTCATGCTCTGCACCCCCTACCTAACCAGCACTGGAGCAATGTGAGCAGGTTGGAGATGAACAAAGGGCACCTGGGGTACACTGCACGGCTTTGCTTCAGTTCAGACTGCCAAATCCAGAGGCAGAGGGAATCTGCCACGATCTCCCAAGGCTCATTCTTTAGCTGTGTACTGAAGATGAAATGCTTCTCCCATCCTTATACCAGAGTTCTCCAGAAGCGAGAAGGGGACTGGCAGCTTACGTCTTCCATGAACTGCTGAGACCATCCTCCTTCCTGGTGTTTCTTACAGATTTCAGCAATCTGATTATATTTTATTTTTATTTATGATTATTTGATTTTAACAAACAGTTGGGACTGTTCTCTGACAGGAGTGAGAGATTACCTTCAGTATTCAGAGTGTTTGAGACCATTCTGTGATTCTGCAGCTGTTTCTGCTGCTGCAAGTACAGAGTGTGAGATCAAGGTGTGCTGATAAAACACTTGTGGGACATTACTTTGGCCAAGGTAGTTGGAATTTTTAGAATGTAGGGTTCTGACTGACATTTTTTTACTTTTGCTTTTTTTGGCATTTTGTTTTTTAAAATTTAAATGTATGTTCATATATTATTTGCCTCTTTCAATATTTATTACTTCCCTGTGTTTTGATGGTTATTTTTATACTTTGCAGCCTCCATATATGACACAGTTACTACAGGAGTTGCTTTCTGAACAGCAATCCTTCACATCTCTCAGTGCTTTAGGAGGAAGTCACTCCTGCTTATGTATAAATTCATCAAGATAACATGCTTTCAAAAATATCTATGACTTTATAATGCATATTTCCCTTATGGAAGTCTCAAGCATTGCTTTTAGAAGCTGTGTGAGAAGAAGAGGCTGTTGCAGTGCTTGAAGGAATTTAAGCAACTTAAATTTAGAAAGGAGTCTTTCTTTAAAAATAGCACTTCCTCCTAGGAACCATTGAAAACATTTGCTTTCAAATGATCCTATGTATTAGAATGTACCTGGCCAACTGCTGTTGTCCAACACAGGATTGTTTCCTTTAAAAGCTTATTAAAATTAGAATTATTTCCAATGTGTTGTGGATATTGGCAGATGTCCCCTGACCCTGGCTGGAATGAAAATGTGGATGAGTATAGACTAGGATCTAACAGATACGCAAAGTTGCTAAATTTTTAAAAACTTTATCTTTTTAGCCATTTGGGGAAAAGCCATTTGTTTTGATCCTAATTAGACACTTGCCAGTCATTTTCATATTTTCCTAAGGTAAACCTGCAAGAGACATGGAGCTGGTGAGGGCAGAAAAGAGCCTTGTCTGGGTGTGTTGGAGAGAGACTGATTTGTTCCAGCAAGATGAAAGAACAGTCCCTTGTCTGTGTTGGGCAGCATTGTCAATATTATGCAAAAATGCAAAAGCTGGGGAACCTGTCAGTGGAAATTTCCATTTCTTTATGTCTCAGAGCTCAAAGGGAGCCCATTCTGCAGAGAGACAGGAGTGGCCCAGGGGAATGGGGAGCACAGCAGCTCCTGCTCCACCAGCAGCTCAGGCATGTTTGCTTTCAGAGAGAGCTAATGAATTCTGCTACAGTTTAGTCTTTGCCTAAATGATCCTTTTTTCTTTTTTTCCTAAAATTCATGATTTGCATCTCATGTGATGTACAGGGAGATCTGAAGGTCTGGTATCCAAGGGGTGAGCATAAGCTGGCCCTGAAGGAGCAGGAAGGGTGCTGGAGTCCCAGGGGCGTGACTGGGAATCCAGTTCTGACTGCAGTTTTTCAGCTTACAAGTCAGGCTCAGAACTGAGCACAGCACAAAATTAGAGTTCCACTGGGCTGGACTCAGTCCCAGGGAAGCACCAGGGAGCAAACAGGAACCCAGGTGTGTGTGTTAGAGCACACAGACCAGCTGGGGAGTTCTGTGCTGCCTGAACATTGATTTCATCATCTTTGCAGGGCTGGTTGGGTGTTTTTGGTTTTGTTTTTGTTTTTTTAATTTTTGCAGTGAAACCTTGTGTGGCAAAGCAACTGACACTTGAAGGAGTTGGCAGAATATTTCATGTAGTGCCTGAATGACAAAACTGTCCTGTGCCAGCCTTGCCTCTGCACAGTATAATTACAAACCTCAAAGGCCTTCACAGGGCAATCTTGCTTTTTATTTCTAATTTATTTTTTCCTCTTCTGTTTTGAAAACACATCTTGCTTTCCTTAGCTGTTGAATGAAAAATTAAGTCCATCATCCTTGACCCTTATACTTACTGCTCTCAAAATAGCAGTACCTATTAAGGATAAAAATGAACATTTAATAAGTTTAAAAACAACTGTAAGAATTCACTTCCTCTGGGCTCTTCATGAACTGTTCTTATTTGGTGCATGGTGTAAATGTTACTCTATAATAAATGCAGTCTCAAGTTTTAAATACAAGAAACATCCTGTATTTTGGTAATTATTGCAGGTGTAGTCTATTGCTTTGTGAGAGTAACTTTCTGAAATTTATGTTCATGGGGCCTTCTATTGGGAAAGCAGGGCTTATGTGTATCTTGTGTTTACCTAGGTAACTCTTAAATATATTAGGGGAAAAAAGAGATGGCAATTAATGCTCAAAGGGTTAATTTAGTTTTTTCTACCTAGCACTTATTTTTGCTTGATGTTTCCATTTTAATTTGTAATGCAAAATACTCAAACAGTGTTTAATAACAGAGCAAAGTTCTGGGAGTTTGACCAGAGGTGCTTGGTTTAGAGGACTGACTGGTATGTTTGTAACCTTCAACTTGATAACTTCATATACAAGCAAGGGATGATGTTCCCAAACCTTGCAAATAAAGTACTGATTGGAGGAAAAATTAAGGTCATTATACAAAAAAAAATAAAATAATACTGAAAAAATATTAATAACCACACTCCCCCTCCCTTCCCCTGACAAACAAACCAGCAAACCTGGTTACTTTGAGCTCTGTCTTCTGTGGAAGATAAATCAGACACCAGCAGGCCACTGACTTCTGTCACCTTTTGTAGGAAAGTCAGGCTGTTGAAATGTGCTTCCAGAATACATTAGTTTAGCCACTTCAGTCTCCATCAAGATGTAAACTTTTGGATTTCAGAAAGCAAATTGCAAGAGTAGGCACCAGTTTAAATGTCATATCTCTGTTTACATGAGTTCCAACTGCAATATGGCACTGCCTGCCTTTTAAAGAGTACCGGTCACTTGTGCAGGATGATGTACAGGATAAAGAGGCAGGGCAGGAATTCTGATTGAATGATTCCTGAAAGCTTGTGTGAAGCTGTGGGGAGCTGTGGATAAAGACCTGTAGATGCTACTGGAGCCTCTGAGCGTCAGAGGCAGCTCCTGGTGATGGCCCAGCCTGAAAGGCTGAGCAGCAGCGTGGGAGATTTCAGCAGTGACTTGGTGGCTCTTGCCAGGTCTGTTAACAGAGCTCTCATTTGTAGCACCAGTTCAGCTTTTCCATCCTCATTAATCCATGAGCTATACCTGCCTGGACCCTTAAAAACAAGAGTGTGGGATGGTTACAGAATCATGGAATGGGGCTTCCCACCTTCACAGCAGAATCCTCAGAACAGAAGCATCGCCCTCTTCTAGCATAAAATATTTATCTTGGCATAAGCCCATGTTCATCCGTGAGTTACAGCATCTCCTCTGCCTTGTCCTCCCCCTGAGTGGGACAGAGAGTAAATCCATGGCCTTGGATGCTCTCTGTTGGACTGGCAGGACCACTGGGCACTGAACAGAATCACTTGCAAATAACCCTGCAAGTGACCAGAAGTCATTTGTTCATTTGAAATCATTTTGGAAAGGAGAAAGGAAGCAGCAGCAGCCTGGAGTGGGTTTGATTCAACTCAAAGATGTGATTCTGTTCTGGATGGCATCTCTGTACAGTATTTTATGGCACAGCATACTTTGTCTGATGAGGTTGCTGTAATTTCAGCGGAAATTTTTCTACCTCTGTGATGTGGTTTTACTTTGTCTATAAATATAGCAAGAACTCGAGCTCCATAATGGACAGATTTGAAGCAGATCATATTTTTTCAATTAGTTTATTCTTCTTATTGTCACGATTATTCATTTTCTCTTATGTGGAAAAAACTTGCAGTATTTTAGGGAGTGTCCTCTGCTTCTTGCTGTAGTTTATTTTCTTTTATTTTTCCTTTTGCTTTACCCAAAACTATTGTGTATTTTTTGTTTTCTTATCTTTTTGCTCTAAGCAGTAGCTCTCACATTTTGGATTAAGAACCTCCACTGCTATTTGCATCTGTGATGTTACCATTACATGTATATATGACAGTGTTTCTGCTGTCATTGCTCCTTAAGCTCCAAAGTCTGTTCTGGGGGTATAAAATCATTTTCATTTTAGCTTTTTCAAAAAACAGCCTTATTATATGAATGTGAATCAGTTGTTAATTGCATTAGAAAGGTTTATCTTAAATGGGGGAAGTGGAGTTCAGAGATGAATAAATTGAAGCCTCAAGATAGAATCACTTCTTTAGATTAAATTGTTGAATTATCTGTGTGGAATTTGATATTATTTGTAAAAAGTAAACTACAATAAAATGCCAGTGATGATGACAAGTTGCTGATGTACTTATATCAAAGTCCATTAGAAAGGGCATCAGCAATTTCAGCAGGATTTCATATTTTGCAGCTTGAAAGAAGCCTTCAGGTCCTTTTGTAACATGGAGCTTGTTGATAAATGTGTTGTGGGCAGGCCTGGCCCTCTTGCTTATATGATGCCCCTTTGGAAAGGTCCCCAGGGTGACAGATTCTAAACCTCAGAGGCCAGCAGGATTAATTAATGAGCATATCTGACCCCATAAATCATAGACCATCATGTGCCATCCATGTAGTCTTTAAGTGTGGTGCTAAGGAAGTACAAAATATGTGTGTGTCTGAAAAAGCATAACCTGGATTATATGAAGTGAAAGGGTGAAATATTAAATACATCTTTGGCTGTTAGTTCTGATGGTTAGGTCTCCTACAATTAAAATTCGTTTCATTTTGAATATGACTTCTGCCTTGACTTGGCAGTTGTTGATTTTGTTTTGTTGGCTTTCTGATATTAAGCTTTTAAAACATCCAGTGTTTTTAACTGTTTGAACACTGCAGTCTTTGTGTACACAGCTCAATCTTTTTAATATTTAAAGCAGTTTAGGTTATTTCATTCATATACAGTGAGAAATCTCCTCCTCCTTTCAATAACTTCTATGGTTCTTCTCTGTACACTGTCCAATTTTTGGACACTTGATGAAAGTGTTGAAGCTGGGTCTGTTGCACGTATAGTGAGACTTCCCCTCTAGTGGGAAAAAGGTTTGTGCAGGTGAGAAGCACAGCTCGTGTTGGCAACTGCAGGAGCACAGTTAGAGCTGTAAACTCAGAGCTGCAGAGGGGCACGCTTAGAGAAACTGTTAATGCCATTTACTTTCTACTGCTGCTCTTTATATAAAGTTTAAATTTTATCTCTGCAAAGCAAAAGTTATGTAATTAAAACTGCAATGGCTAGTTAATAGAATTTGGATTTGTTTTAATGTCCTACATCTCAGGTAGCATCTATCTCAGGGAGCTTGAGCAGGGAAAAAAAAAATCTCTGTACACAGGCAGGTGAAAAATTGGTAGGAATTTGTGAGACCCACAGTTTGCTTTTGTTTCTTTACTATTTGATTAGAGTTTGGGGTCTTACTGGGCTCGTGACATCTGCATATGAGTGTGGAAGTGGCCATGAGCCATGGGAACCTCTCCAGTTCCTTGGGAAAGTCCCTGTTTGAAATGAGGCTCAGGCCACGGAGATGCCTCGTGCAGTCTGGACACTCAGTTTTGATAACCAGCTGTTGCTGAGTCAGTTCCCTCAAAATATATTGTTTTATGTGAGTAACACAGTGCCAGAACCCTCCATTCTGCAGTTACTTCCTGCAGCGTTCTGTAATCGTGGCTGGGAAAAGAGATGTTTTGGGGCTGCCTGGGCAGTGCTGTTCCCTCCAGAGCCCTTGTGCTGTGTAACTGGAGCACAGCCGTGAGATTCATACCCAATGAAGTAAGTTTAGAGTTGTGTCTTAAATCTTCTAAGCCTGACTTCTCATTGCACTTCACAAGATGCACTTTGGGGAAAAAGTAAAATAATTTCTAAAAAAATGGAAAAAGTGAAGGAGCTGTAACAGGAAGTGAGCCTGCCCTACATGTGGCAGAAGAGAGTCAAGTAGAATAAATTGTCCTTGAATTCTAATTATTGTGATTGCTTTTATATGATGGGAGTTGTCATGTTCACTGTGGTTTTGTGTGGGTTTTTTGGGTTTTCTTCTTTACCTCAAGCCTGTAAGTAACACAGTAATCTCAAATTGAAGGTCTTCTTCCAATCCCTTCTGTCTGTGGTAGTACTCACTTCTCACTGATTTGATGTTTCTGCTGAATTGTCCTTTCTTGATCCCTCCACCTTGACCTCACCTGTTCATTCACAGCAATTTTGTGGTTTGGGAATGGTGTTCCCCAGTTCAGTGGGAGCATGCAGACAGTGCAGAGTCCATACATATCAGATGTGAAAGGTGTCATGATAACACACTGAACACCTTGTCCTGAATGAATCTAGACTTTGTTTCGTCTGTTATTTACACCCTTGAATATTTTTCCCTTGAGTCTGATCGGATAGCCTTGTATTGATGTAATAATTTTTGTGCAAATACCTGTCATTCAGAATTCTTCCTTTGGTTCCAGTGACATGTCAATGACCCTGTTTGAGGTGAGGCATGGCAGCATCACCATCTGAACACCAGTGACAGGAACTGTATGTAGCAAGTTGTTTTCCTTTGTTTGGTGCAAAGCAGTTTTCCCTGAGCATGTATGTTCTAAAATGTCTGCTTGAAATATCAGTCTTATGTAATAAATAGATAAAAAGCTCTGTTTTTACCTTGATGGCAGTTGTTACTCCCAGAAGTGGCACAGGACACGCAGTTTTCTTCAATGCAGGCCTCAAGGCATGGGTGGGGAAGTTCCTGCCTGGGCAGGGCAGGAGCTCTGCTGGGTTGTGAGGAGCAGGGGTTCTGCAGCTCAGCTGGCCAGACTGGGTCAGCACCACTGAGCAGGGTGGAGCAGGGTGAGCCCTGGGACTGCAGCTCACACTCCTGCTGCTCCTTGGGACAGCCTCTGCCTTCGTGGGACACTTGGGCAGCTGCAGAGGAGCTGGCAAAGGGTTGCTGCACTTCTTGATCCGACCTTCTGTGTCATCACTTCTGATAAAGCAAACAATCACCATTTAGTAATGCTGCTGAATTTATTTTTTTAGGATCTGGTCAACACTGGACTCAGCACTTTCTTCTTTTCCATTGCCTCTGTAGTACTGGCTGCTTTAAACCATAAAACTGGAGCAGAAATTGCTGCTGTGGTAAGAATTTAAACTTGTTTGACTCTTACCTTGTATTAAAATTAACTTTTGCTTATTGATTGAATACACCTGTTGCCTTTACAATCACAATTTACTTCTACTTTTGCAGTTTGCTGTAAAATAGTTCTTATTTTAAGAATGCTAACATCCTTGGAGATTTGTCTGAAAGTGTGAGGCAAGAACAGCAGAAAAATCACATGCAGAGAGAACTTTACAGTTGAACTTGCCTTTCTCTTTGGTGTTCTATGTTGCAAGCCTATGGAAATGATAGAGCCAAAAAGTAAGAAATTGAAGCTGCTTACACATAATTTGTGTAGTTCTTGTTCAGATGATTTTTTGTTCTTTGGAGTGAGTGTAGTAGCACTTCAGGGTTTTAAATCTGCAACAGTCAGTTCAAACAAATTACTTTTTGTGTGAGTTGGTGACCTCTTACTATTTTCTTGTTTATTTACTTTTTAACCTGGTTTCTAAAATCACATGAGTTCTGCAGAAGCATAGAGGCTGATGCTCTGGACTTGTCACTTTTTGTGTGCACCCAGAGGAATGAATGAGCTTCTGGATGAAGAGCAGGTTTCTATACAAGGGAGTTCTTTACACTGGGCTGCACTGCAGGGTTTAATTGTCATGTTGGTAGTCAGAGAAGTCTGTTTTCTGGGATCATTGATCATAGCCACTTTTCCAGATTCTCTAGTTCATTGAGAAGAAAAACATAATTTCCCAGGCTATGATGATTTGTCAGTGCAAATAACGTAGAAAGGGAAAATTCCGAGGACTTTGCTGTGAAACTACTTTTCTTGTTTTCACGACTTGTCTGTGACATCTCTTTGTGCTCCTCGCAGGTGTTTGGTTTCCTGGCAATGGCAGTGTATGCTGTGAACACGTTTTTGGCAGTTAAGAAGTGGCAGCTGAGCAGCAGGCAGCAGAGCAGCCGGCAGAGCAGCGACTACATCCGTGCTCGGACAGAGTCCAGGGAGGTGGTGCACCGGCCCGAGATCCAGCGCCTGGACGCCTGAGAGCCACCCCAGTGGCACTGAAAGGGAAAACAGCACTGGCTCCCTCATGGAATAAGGGTTTTGGCTTTATTTAAGGAGGAGAAGGTGGATCCAAGGGTGGCCAGGATGCCCAGCCCTGCACGTGTGCAGAGATCCAGAAGCTGCTGTCACGGAGGCAGAAAATGGTGATGGTTCCAAAGGAAGATCCCCTCAAGACCTCCACATAGACATGTGCATATATTATATAGCTCACAGAATATATAATATATGTCTGTTCTGAAGCTTGTCTTTGCTTTGGATTAACTGCACAGCAGTTTCCTTCCATCTCTGAAGATCCACTGTTCCTTCAGCTGCCCCAGAGACAGAGCAGCCCTGCCTGGCTGGCTGAGGGAGGAGGGACACCCATGGGAGCAGATGGAGCAGCCAGACGTGCCAAGGAGCCAGAGGCACTCAGCAATAACTCATCCCAAACTGTCTGTCTGTCTGTCCTCCTGCCCTGAGCCTCTGCAGAGCTGCTGGGGACCCGTGCCACGCTCTCCTGGCTGCTGGAAGGGCCCCGGCCACTCTGGACTGGGCTGGCCTGGGCTGGAGCTGCTGGCCACGGGGATGCGCTGAGCGGGCGGAGGTGGCTGTGGGACACATTCCAGTTTTCATTCCAAAGTGGGAAAATGAATACGATTAGGAGATGGGGTGGAGAAAAGGGGCTTAAGGGGCACAGTAGAGAATGAAGGGGTTGTCATCCTATAGACTTACATTCCAGCCATGGCTTTCTTTTTCTTTTCTTTTCTTTTCCTTTTTCTTTTTTTTTAAAGGTTCAACATTTCTAGAAGTTTTTGCCTAGAACTTGCTTTCCCTCTAAGCTCAGGGTAAGCAAGAGCTAGCAAAAATTTATGTACTTTTAAAGTGTTCCTCAGGTTGCAATGTTGTGATTCATGCAAAGTAAATATTTCTTTTTGGAAGGATGTTTTTTTCTAAAATCAAACCTTAATTGGTAGTAGGTAAATCTGATTTTTATTTTAACTGGGTGTTTCTGCAGATTTATTCCCCTTAAGTTTCTTTGGAAAATGAATTTAGCTAATTGGAAAATAATGATTGTACTGATTTGTTTAGAAATATTTTTACTTAGCTGAAGTTTTTTTTTTTTTTTCCCCTTGTACTTCCAGTGAATAAATTACATTTTCTCTACTCAGAACTCAAATTCAGCAGTAATTGGCTAGATAATGTCACAATATTATTAGGAAGATGTCTCTTGATATTTTTCTGTTTCTTTGGTGTTTTTATCTCTGTAGTGCATTATCTGGCATTTGCCTGCCTGTGTGAAGACAGTGTGTGTGGGAGGAGATCTCTAGAATTGAACTCCTTTGTGGTGTGAGGAAAATGAAAATCTGTGCAATTAGTGGCACTGCTTGCCATGTCTGCCTGAGTTTGTCCTGCTGGAGCTGCCCTGCCCAGGGTGAGTGCAGCACCCAGAGCCTTAAGAACAACGGGCAGTGTGTTGTGGAGAAGGTATTTAACAGGAAAAACAAGTTACACCAAACAGCAGATCAGGAGAAGTGCCTGGGCTTTTATAATACTGGAGGGAGCTGGAACAGTGAAAGTGTGAACCTAATGCTGCAATATTCAAATTGAGCAGCACAGAATTATTTTGATGAGTGAAAAAAAAGTGACAAAAGTGATGCCTTTTCATTTTGTATTGAACATATTGACATCTACAGTGCATTTCACCTCAGTGGCTAAGATGGAGATTAAAATTCAGTTACTGATGAGGTTAAGGAAAATTTGCATCTTCTTAGTGATTGATGGTTTACCAGTTCCTACAGTAACATTTTATTGTGCTTTATTGGAATGTTGTGCCAAACGGAACACCAGTTTAAAAGAAGATTGAACCAGCTCTTGGTTCACAGAGGGTTGCCTCACCTGGGTGCATTCCCTGAGCAGGACATGGCAGTTCCCTGGCCAGTGTGGTAAGAAATTACAGTTTGTTATTGCAAGAACTGCTGTGGCAGCCCTGCTGTTTGCCAGCACTGCCCAGGACTGGCAGAGTTTGCAATGTCAATTATTAAAAGACTTTTAATTTAAAAATAGCACAAGCATACCCAGTCAGGAATTGTAAACTGCCATCAAAGCAATTTGGAAAAAAAAAAAAAAAAAAAACAAAAAAAAAAAAACAAAGCAAAAAAAAAAAAAAAAAAAAAAAAAAAAAAAAGGATCCATGCTTTTAGAGTGGAGCTGCCATCTGAAATCAGGGAACAGGATGGTGTCACAAGGGGATTTTGTCAGGAGTGTGTCGTGTCACTGGCCAGGGCTGAAGGAGCATTCCCAGATCCTCTCCTGTGCTCCCTGAGCCCATCGTGGTCAGGACAAAGCTCTGGGAGCTCCTGTGCCTCTCTAGGTTTATGGATTTGGTACCTCTCAAACCCCTGCACCTTTCCTGGCCTATAAAAAGGGTAATTTGGGGTTTTTCTGTGGAATGAGGTCCCAGCCCCATCGAGCTGCAATGACAGGAGCAGAGTGGGGCAGCCACACCTCCATGGGGCCCTGGGACTGCTGCAGGAGCATTCCCATTCTTGCAGCTGGGAACACCAGTATTCATTACTCACATCATGCCCTGAGCCTAGCAGAGCTCTCAGGGCAGAATCCAAAAGAAAATAGTAATTTTAAAAACACTATTTGAGTCACTTTGTGAAACAAAAGCAAATGTAAATGTGTAATTTCCTTATTTTTGGAACCAAAGATGATTTTAGTATTGTATAGTATATACTTTCTAGAAAAATTTAAGCACTTACTGCTCTGCAGAGACATTATTTACTATTTGGATTATAAAGAAGGGAAATAAAGTAGCTGTGAGAGACAACTATATTTGAAATATTAAGATCATTTGATGTATCCATGGCTCATTCCCCCGAGTTAATTTTACACAGTGTATTGGAGAGGTATTTTTTTAAAGATTGTTATCTAAACTGCAGTGAGACAAAAAAACTTAAGGAAGAAAAGAGGGTAGAAAGTTTAATTTTTTTTTTTTTAAGTGACATTAAATTGCTTCTCTCAGCCAGTTAAGTCTTGCTCGTAATTGCTAGCACATAGGGATAATTTCTTTTAGCCCTTAAGAGTGCTGTTTAGCTCCATGAAGGGACTCAAACCCCACTGTAAACAGAACTAAATGAAAGCAAACAGTTGAACTTGGTAGGAGCAGGATGCTTGAAACAAGTACCAGTTTGGATGAGTCCCCTTTGGCCAATAGAGCCCGTGGACCTGGAGTCTGTGTGTATTTCTGGGTGTAGCCATGACTGAATTCTGCAGCCTGTGCACAAATGGTGATGTTAGACAGTGAGCTCTGCCTGGAGCAGCAGCACAGAAGCTGCTGCTCAGTGCTGAGAGCCTGTTTGGCTCTCCTGCTCATTTGCCATCCTCAGCTGAGGCTGGCCAGGTCCTTGAGCTGGGCAAACGGCCCCAGCAGCAGCTCTGAAGCCACAGCGGAACTCAGTCCCGTGTCTGAGTAAAGCCAACTCCTTCTTCCTCTCCACCTTTTCCTTTCTTTGGAATGTTCGTGCCTAATGGATCAAGTGCTTTAATATTTAATTTTTGCTAAGCCTTGTTTGTTGGTCTGTGCAGTGCCAGAATTTGTCCATCATCCCTTGATGGCAGCTGAGGTGCTCTTCCCTTGCCCGATGGCTCAGGAGGCTGGCTGGGTGTTCTTTCCCGTGGGACTGTGGGAGGCTGGTGCTGCCCTGGGATTTCTGGCAGGAGCCTGGGAGGGGTAGAGAGGGATCTCCCTGTGCCTTTGAGGGACAGGCAGTGGCTCCAGAGCTCCGAGATTGCAGTCTGTGCTGCTCGCTGGGTTCAGGAGCACAGCATCAGCAAAGATCTGTGCCCTGGCAGCAGCTCCTCATCTTCCAGTTAGAAGGTGTCTTTTACATGGGATTTCATTGAAGGAGCAGCGTGTGCTGCTCTTCCATTGGCTTTGTCACCTGGTGTGACAAGCACTCCCCGGTGTTTCTTTGTCACTCTGGTCCCATGGCATTGTTTCAGCTCTCTGTATTTCATTGCTGCTTGCAGATAGAGGAGGCAGCAGCTGTGTTCCCCTGTGGGTTGTTGTGCCCGTTGCTGAGTGTCCCTCCCACCAGGGCAGAGCCAGTGCTCCAAGGAGCTGCACTGGGCTCTTCTGGGACAGCATTCCATGAGCTTTAAGGGCCCTAAATGAATTTGGTATTTGTCACCTCTCTGCTGCCTTGAGGGTGTGCAGGCACAGAAAATGCTTACCTAATCTGTGGCTTTATTAATGCAATCCTTTCTTCCTCCCTCTTCCTTAGGCCTCTTTCTGTATCTGTTATTTTCTTGTCTCGTGTCATGTTGTAATCATTTCTACTTGTTTTCTTTTGTGAGGAAAAAAAATTCACCAAAAATTTAAAATAAGAAAAATTATTTTAGGGCATAATTAAAAAATGAAAACAAACTTAATAGCAGTTCAGATATTGTAGGAAATAACATCCTCTCTCCTGCTCAGCTGGGATACTGAACAGCTTTGTCCATGGAGGAGCATGAAGAACAGTTCTTGTCCTGAAAGCTCTGGAGCCAAAAATCTTCAGTAGGCATTCAGGATAATAAAAAGGCAGTCTGATAAGGAATTGGAGATGTGAGGACACTTGACAATCCAGAGCTTTCAAAGTGAGACATGAACAGTAAGAAGCCACAGTGGAGTGGCCACAGCAGTCATGGGGATCTCAGGGGTGAAGGGCTGGGGTTGTCCAGACTCAGCTTCCAGAGGGGATCCAGGCTGGTCCCTGCTCAGTCCCACGGGAAGGAGGAATGCCAAGGGCTGGCATTTTGAAAATCGGGCACTTGGCTTGTTTGTAGCATAAAATAATGGACTGCTCATTGTCTGGAGGGACAGCAAAGCTCAGAATTACTGTGCAGATATGCAGATAGAGTTGTCCTGTGTGTTGAGTTTTAATGGCAACAAAAGCATTTTAAAACAATCCTGAAATCAGTACAAAAATGCACGGAATGTGTGAAAATACTTTGTAGAAATGCCCTGTTCCTCTCTCTATTTTGACAGAGGGAGTTGGTTAAAATGAATTTATAAAAATAGTCAGGAAATCTCTGAATGAAATTTCAGAGGTTTTTTCTGATCTGTTATTTTCCCTGTCAGCCACTTGGCCACCTTGATAGATCTGCTTGACCAAGTCATAGTGTTGCTGTCCAACCTGAAAGGGTTCCCTTGGGGTTTTTTGGGTTTTTTTTCTGTGTTTTGGTTTTTTTCTTTTTTTTGTTGTTGTTGTTTTTGGGTTTTTAGGGGTTTTTTTTGTTTTGTTTTGGGGTTTTTTGTGTGTTGTATTTTAAAGATCTGTCTATAATTTAACCATTTGTATGCTAAAAATAGTCCTTTTAAAAAATCTGCTTACACTGTGATTTCTGGTAGCCTAATTTAGAGTACACAACACAATCTAATTTTCTTTTGGCATATGCAGCTTTCAGAAATGTTCTTATATATGCCCAGAAATGAAAGCTGTCTATTTATCATAGGAATGTGATTAGGTAAAGTAACCTATCCAGAATCCCAGTGCAGCTCTTTCATATGGGCTGGATGGACTAGTTAGTGAAATTGCTTTTTAATCTCTATGGGTTAATAAATATTTTTTTATAACTACCCACAGATATTCCTTTTTAAATTATACTTGGCAAACAGAAGATATTTAATTTTATATACAGTATACATAGTTACCTTGATTAACATATTTATAACATAGAGCTTCGTGTATACTATGAAGGTTTTATCTGTATCCCATGGACTTCATGGGGTAAAACTTTAAAAAGTCAGTTGGCATTTATGGAAGAATATGGGAACTTTCTTCATGGCTTCAGAATTAGGACATAGGAGCATTTAAAAAGCAATAGCCAGGTTGTTTTACAGAGTATCTGGGGGTGTTCTTATTTTTGATTGGGGCTGGTCCCTGCAGCTATTTTAATAACATCTGGATGTGAGTAACAGAATGGAACATGAGCATCTGCCTCTTCTGACTGTCACAAGCTATTGTCTAGAGCACAGGAAATTTCAGGGTATTGTATTGTTTTGCTTTGGACAAATGTCTCAGTAGACCTATTTAATTAAAACCTTCATGTGTCTGAAAGAAAACATCCTCTCTTAACTAGGCTGATTTATCACTTTTGGTACCCTTGTAATCCCAAAAGTAGTGTTGTCTAAATATTTGTAGTGATGTTCCAGCTATCTTGATGTCTGCAGGTTAAAGTGGTCCTGGCTAGCACCCTTTTATTACAACAATTGCTACCTTCATTTTTCTACTGTTTCTACTTTAATCTTGAATGTTTACCGGTTTCTAGTGTTGGATCTTGTGGAGGGGAGAGTGTCTTAGCACTACAGCTCATCCAGCTTTAACTCATGCATCACAGTCCTGGAGTAAGAAAATATTTTGAAGTATATATTTCGGCCAATTTATTGCTTTTTAAAATGACTTCTATACTTAAGACACAACATTTATGACATAATAGGACAAATGACTTAGCTAATCATTGTATCTGTCTAGACTTACTCTCTTTTGTGTTAGTGTCATTTTGAAACTATTTGTATATGTTGAAGTTTGTAAGGGTTCAGGAACCCACAATAAAATAGTAAAGTATGTATTTATTTCTCATTATAATGCTCAAATTTGATTCGGAAGTTGACACTCTGTATGTCTTTTCACAGAATTGTAAACAAATACGGAAAAACTGCTTCACCTAGGGTGCCTTCCATGTGTGGTACTAACACTTGTCATTGACAGGAATAGAGATGTAAATTTATGAATCCAGTAAACACTATTTTTGTAATGTGAGTCACTAATGCAGCTCTGGCCTCGTTGTGCTTTGTTCCCACCAACACCAGGTTTATGGCTGCTGTGGTCACTGCCTTCTCTCCCTGTGTGCACTGGATCTGACCCTGGGGAATCACAGGTTGTGTCTCCTTTGCTCTGCCCCCTGAGCACATTCCTGGTGCTCCAGGTTCCCTTCCTTGGGCCTTGTGGAGGGATGCTCAGTGTGGGTTGTCTGTATCCTCAGGACTGACCCTGGCTCCTCTAGACAGACTCTGCAGCCTAATCCAAACATTCCAATTCTAGCTCATAATTTATGATTTGCAGCTTCTG